CAAGATGTAGCCAGCACCATGTTTGCCTGCATGACGCCATGTTCATCACCATGATAATATTGGTCTGAACTCTGAACTCTAAGCTGCCACCTCAATTAAATCTTTTCCTTTATAAGAGTTGCCACGGTCATGATGTCTCTTCACAACAGAAGAAACCCTAACTAAGACAAATCTAAAACAGCCTGCAGCTTCCATTTTTTTTGGTCCTCACTTTCATTTTAAATAAGTTTTTTTTGTTTGTTTTTTGTGGAGAGGCAAGCAGGCTCAGTATAATCAAAAGGCAAAGAACAGAGGCATGCCTCTTCTGCAGGGTACAAATGCATCTGAGCCTCAAATACACACATTTTACCATAAGTCTGCTAAGAGCTTTGTTTCATTTAGCATTCATCAATTATGTCTTGAAATGAGTTCACTGCTTTGTAACAACCTATCCAAAGCAATGATATTGGAATTATTATGTGCATGCATGTTTACCGTGTGTTTGTACATTTTCATGTGTGTACATGTGCATGTGGAAGCCAGAGGTCAATGTCAAGTATCTTTCTGAGGCACACTCCACCTCATCTTTCTAGAAAGGATCTTGAATTAAACCTGGAGTTCACCAGTACATCTAAACTGGATCTCTAAAAAGTCCCAGGGGTTTCCCTGTCTCTGCTCCCCAGTTCTAAGATTACAGGTGTGAGCAGCTAGTGCATGGCTCTTTTTAAATGTGGGTACTAAGGACTGAGTTCAGGTCCCCATGATCTCAGAGCAAGCACTGTGCTGACTGAACCTCCTCAGCCCTGAAACTGTTCTATTGACAAACTCTTGATCAGTCACCTAGGGAATAGACATTTGGAAAAACTCAAGAAGGATGCTAAGAATTACCTTTCACACCATGAAGGAGAAGCACAAGTATTTAAAAAAAAGAGTAAAGGGGTAGAACAGACATTTCACTAGAAAAATAACAAATGGCCAATAAATATAAGAAGATGTTTAAATCATAGTCATTAGGGAAATGCAACTAAAATCAAAACCAAGATGAGACGTGCCTAGGATGTCTAAAGTAAAGAAGACAGGCATGTCTGTGTGTTTTAGTTTCCTTTCTGTTGCTGTGATGAAAATAGCTGAATCAAAGCCAACATAAGGGAGCACAGGGTTTATGTGGTGTATAGTTGCAACCTCTCAGTGCAGGGAAAGTCAGAGGTGGGAGCTTGAGACAGCTGGTCACATCACATCCACAATTAAGAGTAAGAGGAAATGGGTGCACCCCTGCCACCTGCTAGCTTTATTCTCACTCATACATGTATTTCAGGCCTGACCTAGGGGAAAAATGCAGCCCACAGTGGACTTCATATGTCAATTTGCAGTGAAGACAATCCCCCACAGACATGCCTATAAGTTCTAGACGATTCATCAATTGTCTCTTTTTAGGCGATTATAGGTTGTGCCATGCTGACAGAACTAACCAGCACAGGGAGGATGTGGAAAAATTGAAGCCCTCATACACCCATAGCGAAAGCTAAAATGATGTAGCTGTTTTGAAAAGGCATTTGTAAGTTCCTCTAGACATTTAAAAGCATCATATAACCCAAAAATTCTGCTCCTAGGCATAGACTTTAAAATACTGAAAACAATGTACACAAGAACTTATACATGGATGTCCATGGAAGCCCTTAAAATAACAACCAAGTAGTGGAAACAGCTCAACTGCCCACTAACTGCTGAACAGATCAATAAAATGTGGTATGTTCACACAACAGACCTGTCAATTAAAAGTAGTAAAACACTGATTCATATTAATGCAAATACAATCCCTGAAACTTGATTTGTGGAGGAAATCAGTCATGAAAGGCCACACTGTGTGATTCTCTCTACATGAGATATCCAGAATAGATGGACCTACATAGACAGAAGGTAGATCTATGCTTGCCAGAGGATAAGGGATAGAGAATATTGAGTTATCACTCATAGATATAAGATTACTTTTTGTGATAGTAATGGAGGTATGACAATTCAAAAGCTTCATGAATTCACTAAAATCTACTGAGTTGTACACATGACAAAACTGAATTTATCAGTATGCAAACTAACGATAAAGATGTTATTCTTAAATCTATTCAATTTTAAATATGAAACAATACCTAGAAAACAATAATTTTTATCTGTACTGCTGTCACTGCAAACAGAAGCCTAGAAGAAAACATGTACCATGGTTTTAGATATCTGTGTCAATCTCTTCAGCACCATGGACAGGTCCCCAACAATCTCCATACTTTTGGAACAAGCACATGAATAACTAACCAAAGCCTGTTAAAAGTTTTCTAAAAGTGATAATTCTATTATAGTTTGTTCTTGTTATCACTTCCATATGTTATGGTAGTCATGATCGACTTATTATGTACAATTTGTCAGCACCTGCATAGGAAACACAGTATCTGCTGTACTACCTTATTCATGTATTTATTTAACACATACATGTAACTGACCTTTATTAGGAGAATTTTCTCATCCAAACTTGGTGAATCATTGCATGATAAAAATAGACAACTTCTGAAATAGCTTGTATCACTTATGATCCATGAAGTGTTTTTATTACTGAATTCTTAAGTCATTAGGCAATTTATTTTCTTTAGCAAATCATCTATGACAGTAGAAGTCCAGGCATGTATTCTGGATATACTCGGGGCACCTTGTATGCATGTACACACACACACACACACACACACACACACACACACACAGTAAATCCTAAGAAAGGAAGAAATTATATACTAAAGTTCATAGATAGTTAAAGAGAAAAAAACCTGTGTGAAATTATGTAACATCTCTGACCTTCACAATCCCATCTATGTAGTTAGGTAGAAAGTGGACAAGATAGTCTTCAGATATTTAACTAAATGTTTACTATCTCCTACCCCTGTGGTGGTTTGACTAGGTATGGCCCCCATAGGTGTATTTGAATGCTTGGCCCTTAGGGAGAGGCACTATTAGGAGGTGTGACCTTGTTGGAGTAGGTGTGGCCTTGCTGGGGTAAGTGTATTATTACTGCAGGGGTGGGCCTTGAAGTCTCAGCCAGTCTTCTTCCTGTTGCCTGCATTTCAAGATGTAGAACTCTCAGCTCTTTCTCCAATACCATGTCTGTGTGACTGCCACCATGTTTCCTGCCATGACGATAATGGACTAAACCTCGGAAACTATAAGCCAGCCCCAATTAAATGTTTCCTTTATAAGAGTTGCTATGGTTATGGTGTCTCTTCACAGCAACAAAATCTAAAGACAGAAGTTTGTACCAGGGGCTGGGGTATTGCTGTGATAGGCCTGACCATGCTTTTGTTTAGAGGAATGTGGACTTGGGAGTTTGGATTAGAAAAGCAGTTTGGGACTGTTATAGACTATGGGGACTTCTGAAGTTGGACTGAATGTGTTTCTGCATTACATTATGACTACAAACCCAAGGCTGCCTGTGGTTGTTATTTACTCTTTTGACTCTTTGGCACACAAGTTTAATCCCAGCACTCAGGAGGCAGGGGCAGGCAGATCTCTATGAATTTGAGGCTAGCCTGGTCTGTATAGTGAGTTCCAAGGCAACTAGGGCTACATTGAGAGACCCTGTCACCTCCGGCCCCACGCCAAACAAAACAGAAGCAGGATTAAATTCAAACCCATTATCCTACCAGGTTAGAGGTGTGACTGAGACATCAGCAGGCCAAAAGCAAGATATTGACACAGCCGTGTTCCTTCTGGGGCTCAGAGGAGGGTCTGTTTCTGCTCTTCGCTAGCTTGTAGAGATCCAGCACCCATTGCTGTGGCCTCTTCTTCTGTCTTCAAAGCTAGTGTCCTCTGACGAAGGAACTCCCTTCCTCCTCCACCTTCATGGGCCTTTCCGCCACACCAGGGCCACCTGGACCCCTTCAAGGTCAGAGGGCTGGTCCAATAGCTCCAGCAGCACTTGAAGTCTCTTTTGCAGTTTAGCCAAAGTCTTCAGGGATTCTGGGATGACACAGACAGCTCTGTATCTGGGATATTACTCAGCCAATCACAAGATTCTAGTCATTAAATGGCAATGTAAATAAAGATTAAATAAGGCATAGCTTAACTTTTTTTATGACAGTTCAAAAAATTACCACACAGTTGTCCAAATCCATAGGATTTGCCTTCTTTTATTTAAATAAACTGATACAAGCTGACCAGACTCAACAGTTGCCCCTTAAAAAGTAGAGATATAAAGAAACTGTACAATATTACAAACCAGTGGTTGTATTTGTGTATATATGAATACATTTATTTATATGTACATATAAACACACATGTCCATAAACACACACACATGATATTTATCTTATTTTTGTTTACTTTTTTGATTTTATATCACAACCAAAGTTTCCTCCCTCCTCTTCTCTTAGTCTCCCACCTCCACCCCCGACCCTTCCCCTCTTCCCTTCCATCCACTCCTCCTCTGTTTCTCTTCAGAAAAGGGCAGTCCTCCCATGGATATCAGCCAGCCATGGGATAACAAGTTGCAGTGAGACTAGGCATCTCCTCTTCTATTAAGACTGGATGAGGCAACCCCATAGGAGGAAAGAGTCCCAAAAGCAGGCAACAGATTCAGAGACAGCTCCTGCTCCCACAAGAGAAACAACTACACAACTGTCACATATATGCAGAGGGCCTTGGTCAGTCCCATGCAGGCTCCCTGGTTGTCGGTTCAGTCTCTGTGAGCCCCTGTGAGCCAGGTTAGCTGGTTCTGTGGGTTTTCTTGCACACACAATATTTTAACATTAGTTGGGTGGTTCTAGAACATTAGTAAACAACAAAGAATCCCAGGAAGGTAATGCTTATAAAACATGGCCCTGTTTATTTATGATCATCCCAAGTCCCCAGAGAGATTCTTACCAAAGAACATAAAGGTCAGAGATTTAAAAAAAAAAAAAAAAAAAAAAAAAAAAAAAGCCCCTGCTGCTGAGTCAGCCATTTCCCTTCCCATTTCTGTCCACATTAAGTTTCTCTATGTCTTAAGGCACAACATCCTGTGACCCCCAACAGATCTCGTTTGACAAAGCCAACCAACCAAAGCCCAAATGTGTGCTGTTGTGGAGGGAACCACTGAAGGAGAACGGCGAAGCACCCTGGCTCTCTCCACCCAGGGTTCCCGTAGGTCTTAGTGCCCTCCTTGACTGAAAGGCTACTGTAGGTTTTTCAGAAACATTCTTCTTGCAAGTGTAACCACTGTCACTGAGAAAAGCTGATGTTCAGTCCACTGCAGACTTAAAAGACGGGAATGTGGTACTGGCGGTCGTTCTCGGTCAGCAGTGAGATCTCTGGCCAGTCCCTGAGAGGCTCTTCGGGATAGCAGACTGTAAAGTCTCTGGAGTTAAACTTGAACAGTCGGAACACTTTGATCTTTACTTGCAGGGAATACCCAAGTATAAACATGTCAATCTGGGGACAAGATGAAAGTGAGGTCACAGACTGTCTTCATACACCATGAGGCCTGTTATGGTTTATGAGATGATCCACTTTGTAACAGAGTAACCCATAAAGCAAGTGGGCATGACTTTGGGACAAATACCCACGGTGTGGAAGTAGGGGAGGACCATGTCTAGTGAGATGAAATCAGGAGAAACTGTTAGCACAGAAAGGAATGCTCAAGCCGGGGCAGTGGCTCACAGGCTCAATCTCAGCTCTCTGGGAGCTGAGGCAGGAGGAATGTCATGAGCTGGAGGCCAGTCTGGGCTCCATAGTGAGTTCCAGACCAGCCTGGGCTACAGAGTGAGACCTTACCTTGAGGGGGGGAAAGAAAAGGGGAGGGGTGGAGGGAAGGAAAGAAGGAGAGGAGGGAGAGGGGAAGAAACGGGCGGGTGCCTGCTACTAAGAACTGCATTGCTTTCCAATGAATTTGGTATCTTAGTAAAGATGTCATCTGACTCAGCATTTCTTTTGGACAGAAAACAAGTAAACAGAAGACCTTTGTCATGGGGAGGGGCTTTCTCTGACCTTACAGTTGTTGCTAACCTTTATCTGTGACAGGTAACCAAATGCTTCCCCACAATGATCTGGCTTTTTGAGTGGCCTTTTCCCAGTTAGTATCTGTGTGGTCACAAGGCTCTCTCTAGTCCGAGGGTCCTCGGCCTCACAGGACATAGCAGCCAGCAATGAGGCCTGCTATTCCTCTGCGCAGCTGGTTTCCTCCCTGCTACACATAACCCCTAAAGGCCCACTGGTTCAAGCATTCTGGAGTCATCCCAGATCACACGCTGTGAGTCCCACTCACCTGTTCCAATCCACAGGTGTCCCCTATGGAATTCAGGTGATTCATCATGAAGCTCAGAGGATCTGATGACGACTCCCTGGAAAACAGGAGTCGGAAGAGGCTGGGGATGACCTTGTTAGTCTTCATCTGCTCGTACATTTCCGTGACCTGGTAGAGCATGATGAACTTCAAAGCTTCGTACAGCTTATACTCCAGGATGGCGTCGGAGAAGAGTATGTTGCACATGCTCCCTCTCTTGTGGTAATCTCTCATCCCACTAAACTCAGTCCACTGCAAGCACAGGGGTAAGCGTGAGCTGAGAAGGGCAAACGTGAATGCACAAACCATTGTACAACTTGTAACGTACTAATAAAATCAGCCCAAGGGGAGCCCAGCAGGGCACGGAGGAGGGCAGCATTTTACATTTTCACATCTGTCCTTCAGGACTGTTTGATTCTTTTTAACTATAAGTATACCACAATGGGCTGAATGTTCACCTGCCTCCCAAACTCATGTGCTGAATGTCTTAGTCCAGAGAGACAGCCTTAGCAGGTGAGGCCTTTATGTGGTGATTGGCCTCTTCAGGTCAGGGCCCTCGTAAATGGGACAGGTGTGCCTCTAAAGAGGAAGCCAAGCAATTTCTGGCTCTCCTTCCGCATGTGATGGCAGAACAAAACAAACAAAAAATAAATTAGAAAGAGGGCTGTTACCAAATGTCACTTCCTGCTAATCTCTTGATCTCAGACTTCCAACCTTGGTAATTGCAAGAAATAATCAGTGGTTGTTTAAGCCCTCAGTGTAGGGCATAAGAGAAGCCTGAGCCTCTGGACTAACACACAAACACCTTACTTTTACAATAGAAACAAAATAAAATCAAGTTTCTCAAAACACACCACTACTAGGTAAACTGTCAAACACATCAGGTCTCTGAAAGCCCTTGGGGTCACGGGGTCATCCAAAGGCTACACCAGTGAAGAACACTGCAAGAGCACTGCCTAAGCTTACTCTGCACAACACCTATGTGGATTAACTCACACCCTCACCATAACTGTGCAGGGTATATGCTATTCACAGTTCTTAAGAGAGAAGAAAGCCATGACTCAGAAAGCCATTTCCCCCAGATAAGCCAGCCAGTAAGAGATAAGCGCCACACACTTTCCATGGCCCCAAGTCTGTTGTTAAGTCAGGTAGAGCTTTCAGTCTCCTTCTAGCACCTGTGCCATCACTGTGTGAGCAGGACACTTGCAGGAGGGCATTTCTGAGGTCTGGACTTTGTACCATATTGGAAACAAGGTCCCTTTGCCTGTCTGGCCTCCGATGCAGCCCCTGAAGCTTCTACCCCACAACAGGCCAGGCCATCCTCACACACAACACTAACTCTGGCTTGGTAAGAGAAAGCAAGCGGCCACCTCCAGCAGGAGGCCATCCGTGCTCAGTTTCGTTTCCCTATGACTACTATGCAGGATCTGCCCCCACATTACAGGGAGCAGGCTGCAGTTGAGATGCTTTTATCCCCAGTCGTTTTGTTTTGTTTTGTTCTTTCTTATCTTCCCTCAACACTCACCCGCATCTTCAATAATTCCACACATTTCCGTAACTTTCCGAACACGTTGGAACCTGTGTACTTTTCAGGCCCGAAACTGTATTGCTGGATCCAGTTACAGCCTTGAGAAAAGAGTAGTTTTTCAGGAAGCTTGAAAAGGAAGTAGATGCCAACAATGATTAGTGTCTCAGCGCTTAGCACGCACCATCTGGAATGCAGCAGCGGCACACAGTCTTGTCTCATGCCGCAATCCTCGGAAAGACCACCATGTCAGTTAAGAGAAAAGCAACAGTCATCTTCGGTTTTAGATGGGTGGGTTAAGTGAGTTTTAGATTATCTTCTAAACAAAAAGCTAAAGCCAGGATTATGTCCACAGAAACAATGTTTTTGGGTAAAACGCCATATGCCCTTGAGGTAACCCTCTGGGAACTGTAATTAAATGGCGTTAGAAAAGCAGGGCATACCAGGTAGGGGGTGGGTTATTCAATAGTGCAGTATGCTTCCCAACCTGGCTGTCCTTTATCAGCTGAGAAGGGACTTTGTCTAATCATCCACTATATATGAACAACAATGTCATTCATTTCACAGAGCTCCCGATTAAATTCTGGGACATGCAAAGGTTAGACTATGGTGTTCATAGGAACCTATTCCACTGTGAGCAATGAATACCATCTCCCACAAACTTGGGAGCTGAACACAGAATTTCTGTCATGTTCTTTATTCTAATTAACTAGAACCAGGGTTAGCATACAACATTTATTTGACAAGTATGAAACAGAACTATTGAAAACAAATTTCAATAAAAGACATCAAGGAGACAGAACACATGGGACTGTATATATGTATACTACATATTTCTTGCTCCACCATCCTAAATTGGGCATACTGCATTCAAAACAAGAATTCATATTGTTCATCAAGAATGTATGGCTGGGGCTGGAGAGATGTCTGAGCAGTTAAGGGTACCTGCTGCTCTTCCAGAAGACCTGGGTTCAGGTCCTAGCACCCACACGGTGGCTCACAACTGTCTGTAACTCCAGTTCCACGGGACCCATTGCCTTTTTCTGCCTGCTACCAGCACTACACACACAGGGTACCTCGACATACATACAGGCAAAACACCCATAGACATAAGATAAATAAAAAAGAATATATTGCCATAAAGTATAAAGAAAATGATAACAAACACAGGTTGGAAGAAATCATCTACAATCACATATCCAATAAAACATTCATATTCAAAATATGTAAAGAATTTTTCAAAACAATAAGAAGACAACAATCCAATAAATATGGACAAAAGATTTAAGTACATAATTTTCCAAGATGATATGGCTTGCAAACAGGTACATGAAAAGACACTGAACATTCTACTCATTAGAAACTAGTGAGGGAAGGATGTCGAGATGGCTCAGTGGATAATGGAGATTGCTGTGCAAGTCTGACATACTGAGTTCAATCTCTGAAGTCCATATAGAGGTTGAAGGTGAGAACCAGCTTCACAGGGTTGTCCTCTGACTTCCACATGCACTATGATATGTCCCCTTCCCCCACATCACACACACACACACACACACACACACACACACACGAATAAGAAGAAACAAAGCATAGCTAGTAGAATGGTCAAAAAGGCAACAATACTGAGTGCTGGTGACCAACCATGTGCGGCGACTCTAACTCTTACACTGTACTTGTGGGAATGCAAAGAGTCTCAGCAGGTTTGGAGAGCCGTGTGAGAGTTCCTTGGAAAGTTAAGCACATACCTCCCATGCCACCAGGAATCTAACTACTGGGCATTGCCTAAAAGAAACAGATGTTATACCTATAAAACCCCATATAAGACAATTCCTAAGGACCGAATTCACTGTTGCTAAGCACTGGAAACAAGGCAGATGCCCTTGAACTGTGAGTAAAATGTGTTCTGTTCATATAAAGGGCTGTCACATAGGAGCAAAAAGATGACTTCCACATTCGTGGAACAGCAGGGAGGAAATGCAGATGCTCACTGCTACGGGAAGACAACCAAATTCGAAAGGCTGAGGTAGATGATTCTGTTCTTATGATACTGGAAACAGAAAACCGTAGGGACAGAAAACAGGTTAGGAATTGTATGGACCAGAGGTCTGGGGACAAGTGACCACAGAGGTATATGAGAGAACCCTCAGGTGGTGACTGCATCTGTATGCATCTGTTAATAAATATTTATGCTCTAGTGAAAAGGTTCACATTACTAGACCTCCTTAATTACGAAGGATAGATGCCTCTGGAGAAAAGCTGAGAGCATTAAAAACAAACAAAACTGGGAATGCCAGCAGGTGGGGATGCCTTATCTGCAAGACGACAGAGGGAACCAGCTAAACCACCTGTCAACGCTCCTTCAGCATGAGAATCCTGAGCACAAAACTATGCAGCCAGGACCGGTAGCCCCCACACGACCATGTTCCCAGTGGGGAATCATACCTTCACAATGTCCTTTTCTTTCATCCATGATGGGAAAGAGAGACCTTGGCTGAAGATCTGGAACAACACGGATCTGAGAGCATCGTAGTTATCTCTCTTCACTGGCCGAACACATTTGATATGGTGCCTCCAGAAGAGTTCCTCATAAGCCTGTCAGTACACAAGGATGGGCTGATGAATCCCAGGCATCAGATGCTGGTGAGAGTGAGCTCTGTGAATAGAGCTGCAGTGTTCACACTGGGAGGGAAGTTTCAATGGATACACTGAGGGAGCGTGTTTCCAGAGGGATATGGTTCCCAAATAGTGACAAATGATGACCATAGATGTAATTTTTAAAAAGTTGTTTTGTGTTTAAAATTTTTTGAAGATATACTTTTTGATGGTGCACACCTTTATTTTTTAATTTTTATTTTTTTAGTTTTTATTTTTTATATAGTTGAATTGTAAACAAGATTGAATTATATGAGATCCCAGTTCCCTTCTCCCTCCCTTCCTCCTCTACCAACCCCCCCAACCAAAATCCTACCTGTCATATGTCCTTTCTACTAATCTACATCTGACTCAAATTTTCTGCTTCCTCATGACCTCTGCATCCTTCCTTTTCTTCCCTTCTCACTCTCTAGCTTCCTCCCCCCTCTTCCCATGTTCTCAATTTGCTCAGGGGATGGTGACCCTTTCTCCTTTTCCAGGGACAAAGTTAGTCTCTTTTAGGGTCTTCCTTGTTTACTAGTTTATCTAGCAGTGTGGATTGTAGGATTGTAATCCCTTACTCTATGTCTAAAAGAAGATATACTTTTAAACAACACGTGTGTGTGTGTGTGTGTGTGTGTGTGTGTGTGTAAGGAAGGTTTTCACATGAGTGCAGGTACCCACGGGAACCCAAAGAAGGTGTTGGATTCCCAGGAGCTGGCTTTACAGGTAGGTAGTTCTAAGCCTCTTGACATGGGTGCTGGGAACTGAACTCAGGTCCTAGGTATGAATTACAAGTACTCTTAGCAGGTGAGCCATGTCTCTAGCCTCCTATTTAATTTTTAATTTTATTGCTATAATCATCATCATCACTAGAGTATCATAATTACTATTGTGTATGTGATGTGTGTATGATATGTGTATATGATTGTGTATGTGTGATATGTGTATGATATGTGTGGTGGTGGTGGTGGTGGTGGTGGTGGTGTGTATGTGCGCAGAATAGTTTCTCTTGCACCCAGGTCATCAAACTGACAGCAAGTGCTTTCTCTCTGAGGTCACTTCAGTGACCCTGTGCATGGGGTTTTAAAGTGACTCTCATGTGTATGGAGTGAGTCTGCCTCGTGTTGTTTTAATGATTGATCTTAGAAGACAAGGACAACTTAACCACAGAGAAAAACGGCATAGTTTTAAGATCACAGGAAAGAGTACATTGGACCTCTCCCTCCTCTTTTTCACCCAAGACAGGAGTGGGCAGCACTGTTGGGGATATTTACCAAGATCAGTTCAACAGGACATTCTAAACTCCTCAAAGTACTTAAATGCCAGGGTATCTGCACAGCACATGCAGAAGTTAAGAGGCCAGAGAGGAAGACATTGCAGTTCTCATGTGTCCTCAAGTTACAGACCTAACTGATTTCCATCCCTCAGCATGATAAACTCTCAGTTAAAGCCTGCCTGCATTAGCTCACCTCTCAGCTTGACTGAATGGTCTAGAGCCATCCGGGGAGGGGGAACCTCACTTGAGGGGATTGACTGTATTAAACTGGCTTACAGCCATGCCTGTGAGATAGTCTTGATTGACGACTGATATGGAAGGGCCTAGCCCACTGTGGGCAGCCCCATCCCTAGGCAGGTATGCTTGGGCCAGATGCTAAGAGCAAGACAGTTAAGTAGTGTTCCTCCATGGTTTCTGCTTCAGGTCCTGCCCCGACTCCCCTCAATGATGGACTGTGACCTGAAATTGTAAGCCAAATAAATCCTTTCCTTCCCAAGTTCCTTTTGGTCAGAATGTTTAATCACAGCAACAGAAGAGCAAAGTAGGCAGGCCTCTATCGAACATCTAGCAGCTCCTTGGCTCCTGACTTGGGCTGCAACTTTACCTTATACTCCATTTGGTGCTAGTTGACCTTTGGGTTTGGCAAAGTAGAACAGAATGCGCTCTGGTTCTCCCCGACCCCGCCGGCCTGTGTTAACCCCCACAATCAGACGTACCTTCCTCATCAGCTTGGCACGCGGTGTTTCTCCTTTCCACTCTCTTGCACAATAGCCGAGCAAATCTACTTCTGCCTCCACACTGAGGTTTCCTGAGCAAAACAGAAATACAAGGCAGCTGAATTTCCTATTCTTCTCCTTTCTTTAGCCTCCTCTACCCTTAGAAATGAGGAAACATATGCACTACAGTACTTACTTTTGAATTTTCTCTGCAGATATCCAATCCACCTGAAATACAAAGGAAACAATTATAAACAAAAACTTTTTGTAGGGCAAAGGTGGTTTTGAAAAGGGAAGATGGCAGGAGTGACCTACCATTTCAGCCGATGTCCTAAATACAGATGCAACCTTCTGAAGTAGCAGAGGGAAGCTGTCAGAAGCGACACAGCCATCATCACAAAAGCCCTTGTTATTCTCCAGACTGTGCTAACCGCTTGGCTTGTAATTAGTATCCAGGAGTGAACTTGGTCACTTCCTATAAAACAAAGAGGCAAGCATATCATAGTTATAAATCTGCTTTGAGAGACTGACACAGTGGATAGTTTGCTCCCAAGTGTCTATCATCAGTTTAGACACATTTCTGTGTATGCATGTATACGTTTGAGTATGCACAGATTCATGTGTATATGAGGTACAAAGTTATACATGTGTGTGTGTGTGTGTGTACGTGCGTGCATGAGAGAGAGAGAGAGAGAGAGAGAGAGAGAGAGAGAGAGAGTAAGGGGTGGGGGGAAATTGCCAGCACCATTCCTCAGGTATCTTCAACCTTCTTTGAGATGCTGTCTCTAACTGGCCTTAAACTCACCTACAAGGATAGACCAGACTGTCTGACCAGCAAGCCCTAGGGATCCACTGGTCTCTGCGTCTTCAGTGCTGGGATTACAAGCACACACCATCACACCCACACTTAGGAGATATTCCCCCAGGCCTACATACATGTTTTTAGAGCATTCAAACACTAAGTCCTAAATTAAAGAATCATGTCATTATTCCCATGATCATTTCTGCAAAATTAATAAGTCTGCAATGTACATAGGGAGCATTGTGTGCTTCAGAATCCTGAATTCAAATCCTGTTTCCACGATGGAGCCTGTGTGACTATGACACCCGACTACCTTGATCTGAGTTTTCTTGACTGTAAAATGTAAACGACCATGTAGGGTTGGGGCAAAATGAAGTTCAGAAGCACCAGCACAGTGCAGGCCCACGCTTATTTCTGGCCAAGTACTCTTGGGTCCATGCCAGGTAGGCTCCAGTGACCCATTACCCATTGCTGATTTGAAGAATTATAGGTCACAGCATCACTTGAGTCACACGGGAGTGAGCCAATCACAGAAGCACAGGTACCACTTTCCACATGGGCTGCTTTGGATACCCACTGTGATTCCTGGTCCAACAAGGCAAAAAACTTAGGGGGCAAGGGACTAGAGGATGGGCTTGCTGTATTTTGCCATGTCCAGGAGATTCCCCATCAGGCTGTGTTTGGGCATGTGACAAGCTGAAGTACAAATGAGGAAGAGGACTTCTGAACGGTAGCCAAACCTCCTGGGGTTTGTTTTGAAATAATTTCCTCCACAGAAGATCACTGAGTAAAATTCCAGTGACCAACTACAATAAAACCCTCATCAGCATAGAACCTACGATTTCATCATTTTTGGTCATCTGGATATTTCATGTGTATTTATATTCCCAATAAAGACAGAGTTTACCAGCAAATCAGTAAAAAAAATAGATACCAGCAAATTTTAAAAATATACTTCCCTTTACTAAAAAGACCATTTTAAAAATGGTTATCTATCTAGAGAAGTTATTTGGCAGCTCAAATCATTATATTAACTATTTCTCAGAAATTTAGCAAACTATTATTTGTTTAAAGACACAGAACTGGGGCTAGGGAGATGGATGGCTCAGTGGTTAGGAGTGCATAGGACTCCAGGTCTGAGCATCCCTGAAACTCTAGGTCCAGGGGAGCCAACATTCTCTTCTGATCTCTACTGACACACGTACACACATGGCACACACTCACTCATACATACAAAAACAAAACAAAACATGGGGTTGGAGAGGTGGCTCAGTGGTTAAGAGCACCTGCTGCTCTTCCAAGAGACCTGGGGTTTGGTTCCCAGCACATATACTGGGTGGCTGACCACCAGCTGTAACTTCTGCTCCAAGGAATATGATACCTTCTCCTGGCCTCTGCACATACAAGGCATACACACACACACACACACACACACACACACACACACACACCTAAAAAAATAATAAAAATAAATCTTTACAATTTCAACATCCTAAAAAAGTCTTTTTAATAGAAAGCTATCCTATGTTTAACATCTATAATTTTAGATTTTTACTATTTTAGATGTTTTTCTGTACTGGTAATTCTGACACATACAATTACTTTCACAGGATAGGATTATCTGTGAATATGTAACTTGTGGTACCTGTAAAAATATTTTTAGAAAATGGAACACTACACATGATTTGTATGTGCAGACAGACTCCTTCCTTCCCCTCAGGGGTTGAAGCCCGTTTCCCAGCTTTGACGGCACTCTGTAATGAATGCCCAGTCTGTCAGCATGGCTGCTCCTGTGTGTACTGCTTACTGATGAACATCTGGACAGTTTTGCGCTCTTTACAAACAATGCATGGATGGGCAAGCATTCAGCATCCATTCCTAACATCCCCTAAGGAGCTTGTCTTTACAGATACTTTGAAGAGGAGGAAATACTGCATCAAGATTTGCACAGTCAGTTCTGATAGGTGCTGACTTCCAAAACCGGTCAAGGAATGCTCCTCCGGCCACTCTGAGAGGACCCAACGCTGGGGGGCTGCTTGATGTAGGGTGTGTCTCTGAACTAATCAGAGAACGAGTGTCTTCAGTATACACAGACCAGTCACATTTCTTTTGGATGATAGGACTTTTTACAGCATCGGACACTATTCACAGACTGGTGCTCGTGTATACATGTTGGGGCCAGTGGAGGGCCTGCAGTCACTGCAATGGGGACTGAGTACTGCCATCGACACCATTCATCTGTCAAATGCCATCAGAGGGACCACCCAGCCCCTTGGGGCATCTCTCCTCAGAGTGAGGCTTTTCCTGACAACCCACTGCAGATAACTGTTCTTCCTGTGTTTGTTCATACCTTTCTCCATCTCAGTGTTTCCCCGCCTCCTCCTCCCTATGTCTCTTCCTCTCTCCTGTCTCTTTCTCTCCCTTGCCCCGCCTCAGCCTTCTGCCCTTATCCTCAAAATGAACCCACTCAGAAGACAGCTTTATGAGCACCTCACAGGAAACAACCTGGACCACAGGCCAGCACTCCTGCTCTCCCCCGACTCAGGGCGCCCATGACTCAAACTGGCGGGCTTACTGTGACAGTTCCATACATGCACACATTGTGCTCCAATAGTATCTATTTTCTCCTGTCCCCCCCCCTCCTCCCACCCTCGTGCTCCCCTAGCAGTCCTCTCTTTCAGACCATCTTTTTCTTTAACTTTTTACATAAGAGAGAAAACACACAATACTTTTTTGCTTCTGACTAATTTCATTTAGCATGATGATCTCTTGTTTCATCTATTTCCCTGAAAATAACATGGATCTATTCTTAAATCCATTTATATATTGCCATTTATATATATGAATATATTATATATTCATTTACAGGCTGAACAACAATTAGCTAACCCCATATCTTATGTGCTCACATTTCTTAGTTAAGTAACCCAGGTCAAGAAGGGTGAAGGAGCATGGTCTTGGGGTTCTGGTGTAGGTACAAGGGAGTCATCCAGAGGTAGGTAGGACTGAACTCTGCAGGATGGCATGTATGAGGCAGACATGGCTGCACAGCCATGTAAGGATCCCTACAAGCTGTTCTCTAACAATGGTACTAGGAGCAGGTCTCCTAAGTCAAAAGAGAGGGGAGAACTCTGTCTCATTGCAACATAGTAGCTGTGAGTGCTGTATGGATCAGCTTTCTTGCTGGTGAACCCCACAGCACCTCAGAGGAGCCCCGAGTCCTCATGGAAACCTCCCTCTACCTCCATCTCCAAATACAGGAAAGCAAGCAGTATGGAATGGTTCCTGGTGCACAACGAGTGCTTCAAACATGCTTGTCCATTTTACCATCACAAGGCCAAATCTGAAGGCACAAAACTTCTGTGGGGCTTTAAGGAAATGTCAGGGAAGGCCTGGCTACAGTATCTTTCTCACTAAGCACACAACAAACACTAGCTGCTATTTTCATTGTGGTTACCATAATCACATTTGCTTTGTAGATTAGAGGACTGTTAGGGACAAAAAGATTAAGCAGCCACCTAATGGGAGTTGCCCAATAAATGGCAAAGCCAGTATTCAAAGATAGCGGCCATGTAATTGTGGAAGCTGCCTGCCTGAGCACTTGGCTGTTCTCCTATCTGAGATTATGAAGCTGAATGCATTTTCAAATCAGCACTGGTAGTAAGTAGAATGACAGGTAAAAGGGAATGAATTTAAATCCTTTTCTCAGAGCTGCAGAGAAGGCTCAGTGGGTGAGAGCACTTGCTGTGCAGGCATGAAAACTTGAGTTTGAGTCCCAGAACCTACATAAAGGCCGGGCACCAACTGTCATGTGTGCCTGTGACCCCAGCACTGGCAAAGCCAGGCAGATACTGGTAGCTTACTTGCTAGCCAGCCTAGCCAAAACAGTGAGCTTCAGATTCAGTGAGAGATCTTATCTCAAGAGAATAAAGATCAACAGAAGATACCTGACATCCTGCTTTTACTTCACCTCTCTCTCTCTCTCTCCCTCTCTCTCCCTCTCGCTCTCTCGCTCTCTCTCTCTCTCTCCCTCTCTCTCCCTCTCGCTCTCTCGCTCTCTCTCTCTCTCTCACACACACACACACACACACACACACACATCTTACCCTCCTTCTAGGGTCAATAAATAGATGAATAAAACACCCCAACAAGACTGCAAATCAGTATGAGGTCAAGTTTGATGCACTACTACCCAGTCAAATGTCATTTCTCCAAACACAGCTGAGAAAGGGTAACATTTTGGACCTAGGAAGTTTCAGAGGGTCCCCCTCCCCACCCAAATTCTGTGATCACCACCAACTTCCATTCCCTGCCGCAGAAAGGGGTCCTGCCGGGTCATGTGTGGGACTCAGGAAAGCAAAGGGGAGAGAGAATTCTCTACCTCCACAGACACAGTCATCCCACATACTGAGAACAAAGGGAGGGTGGGCAGGTCAAGTTCAGCAAAGACAGCTCTGGGAAGGGTGGGAAGGGAGGAGGCTGGGAAGAAAGACATTGCCAGGAACCAGGGATCTGAGTTTCTTTCATGCCTGTCAAGAGACACAAAAAGCAAAATTCCCTTTTCATACTTTTGTTCTGAACCACTGGGCTACACATTGAATTTCTTTTCCTTTCTTTCTTTCTTTCTTTCTTTCTTTCTTTCTTTCTTTCTTTCTTTCTTTCCTTCTTTCTTC